ATTTTGTAGTTGATTCATCCATACATGATAGCTGTGCAAAACCCAGAAATCATCAGGAAACAAACCAAAAACGAATTATAACATCGCTCTTGATAGACAAGTGCATTTATTAGGACATAAATATTCATTATTGGGACAAGCAGCAGCACCATGTGCAACCCCTTTGCTCAGTAGGTGGAGAACGAGGGGGAAAGACCTCATTCACACCCCAGTATATATGAAAAATCTAAGGAGGCACAGAGAAGTGTGTCTGGCATAATCCATCCTGGAGATCTCAGAGGGAGAATAAGAGTCTCAAGAATAAGGCTGCAATTGGCATAACAGGTGATCCCTTTTCTAAAGGACAGTAATCTGCACTGATTTCTGTTGTAAAGTCTTTAAAACAGAGTTTTTGTACCATTGAAACTGTTCTTGAGAGAGTGTTTGATGAAGTTAACTGCTTTGTAAAATAATGGAAATACACAATTCTAATAGAATGATGGTCATAGTTAGCAGAATAAATGTCTCATGAAGAAAATGTTACTGGTCTATGACTGTAATAAAAATGATTGATTGATTGATTGATTGATTGATTGAAGAAAATGTGAGAACAATTCCATGCTTGGTTTCTGCAGCAAAGAGTTAAGCATGAATTTTTGCATTTCTGTACCACTTTTATTTTGTAGACCAACTCCAAACCCTCACTCTGAGGAAAGGTTAAAAAGAGTGTGTAACACCCCTTTTGTGTTTCTGACCTTTCTTCTTTCTCCCCTTCACAGGATTGCAGGCACTTATTTGGAACTCCAATGTTACGAACAAATGCCACCTTTAAAAAGAAGTAAATGTCAGGGCTTAGAAGTTTGCTTAATTCCTGTCCTGTCAACAATTGGAGCCTGTTTCTTTTCTACACTCAGATATTTAAGCCTGATTTGCTTGTGACTAACCAGATAGATTTATGTGTGGGGACCTGTTCTATCTCTGTTGTTACTCATATCCTGAAGGCATCTGCAGGGAAAGATTTTACAAATTCCTATAGTCTAGAGCAATTTTATCATAACCAGACAACATCTTAACTTAAGGTTTGCATTCTCATCAATATTAATAGGCTCAGAGCATACAGTGCCAACACACTTCTGAGAAAAAGATTTATCATTTGAATGTTAATAAGTAGGCATGGTTTAATTATACTGGAGAGCTTTCATTTGTGTGCCAGTTGAGAACATCTTTTCAGAATCTATTAATGCTGTGATACTCTCTGAATTGCATTGGGGTGCCATAGTGTAGGCCAGCTTTCCCCCAGTCTTTGGCCATCTAGAAGTGTTCTAGAAAAATCCTCGCTATCATAAGCCAGCATGTCCAGTTATTTGGGGATGGTGAGAATTGCAGTCTAGTACTTCTGGAGGCACCAGGTTGGGGATATAACTATTGTGAACTGACCGATCGTGTTAGATTAGAAAATAAATAATTGATAAAAATTTCTACTGTTATAATGTTGGCCCTGGAAAGCATATCGTTGTCCTGCTTTAGACCGCTGGTGGTTTTTGAGTATCTGCTTAGTAGTGGATAATTTTTTGGGATGTTATTATTTTTTTTATTAGATGTTGATTCTGCCTTTCATTTAGGTGTAAACGGTGGTATACATGACTCTCCCTCTTTTTTTCACCTCAAAACAACAACCTGTGAGATAGGTTGGGCTGAGAGAGAGTTTGACCCAAAGTTACCTGGGGAACTTCCATGGCTGAGGGGGGACTAGAACCTGGGTTTCCATTTCTTAGTCCAGTTTCTTAACCAGTTGAATGGAGGCTAGGAAGAGATGAAAAGCGATCCCAGGCAATGTGATCTAGTGCAAATTAAATGTAGATTGATTCCTCACTCATAGGATTGTAATGTTACTGATAAATCCATTCTTGGTCCAATCTGCCTCTGGATTTGCATTTGGCCACTGGAAAAGATTAGTCTGTAGTTGCATGCAAAGAAATAAGTACAAATAAACTTCAGGGATATATTAGCAAGATGCTCAGTAAGTGTTTTCAACAACACATTAAGCTAAAAAGCCCGATGATTATGTGCAGTGGCTGCTGTTTTACCCCGGTGGGTTAACTGAGCCATAATCTTCAACCTAGAGTGAGATGATACACTCATTTAAAAAAATGAAATGGCTTAGCTTGATTTGGAGCCCTGATTCTCACTTTAAACAGGGCTACCAGATCTGGGCTATCAAAACCCAAGCAGCCATTAGATGGTGGACAAGAGATTCAGAAAATTCTAACTCTTTGCTACCATCTAGTGGTCATCTAAAGTATGAAGCCTGGATTAATTGAATATAAACAAGAAGAGATAAACAAAACAAAGTGATAAAGAAACAAAGAAATAAAACAAAAGGAAAAATCATACAGGGCATATATCCACAGATGCATGTATAAAACTTAAAACTTATATATAAGCATTTCAATAAATGGTGAGACTGTTCAGTAATTGGGGCCGTATCCGTGTCCTGCCAATGCTGAAGAATAACCCTTTTAGGTAACACTTGGGCAGTAAGAATTTACTTACTTTGTCCAGATATCCATTTCCATGCAACAGGAGCATACTTCAAAGAATAGGGACATCTGAGAATAACAAGTCTGGTCTAAAAGCTGAGCCAGTAGATGCAATGACTTCCCCCGAAAGACTATGGTAGCCCTATCTAAAAGACGTACTTGTGATGGAATGGAATTATGAAGGCCAAACTCCGGGAGGAAAACATGCTCTTTCGTCTCCTGAGGAGCGAGGGAGAGAGAAGAG